CTAAAACTATTCAAGTTATATCATGATGGAAGATGAAGTGCAAAATTTGCTGAAACTCACAAGTGAAGATTTTTACAGAAACGTTGAAGAGCAATATGGGAAAAATGTTGTAAAAGTTCTAAAACATCATGATATCGATAGTTATTTTATTTTGGGTGAAACTGATGAAGATTCATTATTTAGTGTATTTGAAAATCCAAATGATGAAAATTCTTCAGATGAACTGATTAGTCTGAAGAAAGACATTTGTAATTTTATTGGTGAAAAAGTATCATTAAAAATCGGAACAAAAGGAAAACTTATTATATTGTTGAATGAGGCTCGTGCCATTATTCAGAAAAAAAAACAACAACTATTAGCTGAAAAAAGATTTAATCGTCATAATAAATCTCGTTCACAATCTTCATCAACATGCAGTAGTGCAACTGCTGAAATCAACTTAAAAGAATGTTATACATCCATTGAAAGATCAATTATAAAACTATTAACCAATATTAATAATAATGTTCATGGTGTGATCATGACGAATGTATCATCGAATGATTTTAAAATTGATGTTAAATGCGTCAATGATGATGCTGAACCAACTTGCTTGATCCAGTGTATATGTGGTGATCGAGTGAGATTGTATTTTAGACAGAATGGATTTCAAATATCGAATCTTTCAAAACATCTAAAATCGATTTACAATAAATCAAAAATTGTCGAGATCAACGAAGATCAAAATAAAAATGATTCAGAATCATCAAATGATATGATTATAGATGATGAATCTTCAGTTATTGATAAACAAAATAATAAATATTCAACTATTAATAGTGATACAGATATTGCTTCAACATCAATAACAAATAGAAAAACGTGAGTTATCGAATTTTTTTGTATTTTAGTAAATATTTCATTTCCCCGTCATAATTAGCCTTCATCAACAACAAAAATCTCAATTTGATTCCAGCAATGATAATAATAATGATTCATCAGCTGAAAAAACCAACATGTAAGTACTTATGTCTTATAGTAAAATATTCTTTTCCTTGTCATCCAAAAAATAGCGATAATGAACGACAATCGTTTCGTATATCGACTACAACAAGTGAAGATGAAAGTTCCATATCAATAAACAATAAATCACAACCAAAACATGTAAGCATATATTTGTTTTTAAATATAAAATTCATTGAACTTTATTATGGTATTGAGTTTTACTATTAATGTAAAACATTTTTTTTATCGATTTTGTTTCAATTAAAGAGTTCAAAATTCACTATACTATATTTTTTTGCTGCAAAAATATGGTTATTGTTTCTAATACACTATAGCGAATGTTTTCACAATGTGTTAATCGTTGTTGATCTCAGTAGCTTCATGAAATCTTTCATCATCATAATAAAGTGGCATCTGGAATTGTGTACTCTTTCATATGCATACGAAAAGTTGAGACTGCTGCCATTCTTGATTTTGCCTTTTTTGTGAAATAGGAAACAGTTTTGACTCTTCTTTCTAATAAAAAAAGGTTGCTTTTATGTTGAGGACAATGGACCCTATGGTCTTTTCTCTCTGAGACAAAGCGAAGTTTGTTATTAGCTAAGTTCAACCAGAGTAAATATTTGCTGAGAATCAATGCTGTGTTTCCTCTACCTTCATCAATAACTTAAACCGATGCAAATAACAAGAACGTCTTTTGGTATTTTGGCATATACTTTAATTATAGCGTGAGATAGATTGGATAATCAAAATATCTTATAATAAAAATGATTGATGTTATAGGCGCAAAAGCTTTTCATATACTATTAATTTCTACCGATCACTCTACAATGACCATTTATTTTCAGGACACGACAGTAGATGAACGATTACGAACATCTGATCTACCAATACATATTCGATCAATTAAAGATTTTCGAAAACAGGTAGATAAAATAAAAACTAATATATCAATTTATTTATTATTTTTATTGTAGAAGGATCATGAGAGTGATCTTTCAGATCGAAAAAAATCGAAACTAGATATCAATAAAAAACAATTTACAAACAATTCATCAGCTAAAATCAACAAAAAAATTCGTAAAGTTCAGGTGAATTTCTTGTTGACGTGGGATAGTGTATTTATTTATATTTCAAATTATTCAGGTTTACAATAAAGCTAGCGATGCAGACTTTTTGTTTGCCGTACTAGAAACAATTGATTCTAATAGTCATCGTCCTTCGAATAATTATAGATATCCACAATGTGTATTTCGATTTGCTACAATTATTGCTATAATAGCAGGCAGATATGTTTACGAATTTCTTCGAATGAATCTAAGATTTCTATTGCCGACAATACAAACTATTGAAAATAATTGGTCTTATCAGCCTTACAAAGAGGCTAATTTTCGATTTGAAGAAACTCAAACCTATCTTAGTTCAAATAAATGTCAATATATTTTTGTATCCGAAGATTGCTCTGCGATTATTCCTAGAATAGAATACGATGCAAGTTTAGATGTTTTTAATGGATTTGTTACACCAGTTTTAGAAGGTTTACCGACTGAAAATACATTCCGCTGCACAACAATTCAACAATTAAAAAATTTATTTGAAACTAATCCATATGCTAATTTAGTTAATATTCACGTAGTTCAGCCTATTGTTGATTCAAATAATGCTTTAGTTTTACCAACAACAGTTTTGGCAGCTTACGGAACCGATCATAAATTAACAGCTATTGATATATTAAAAAGATGGTTAATAATATATAAAAAATTTTATTCCAGAGGAATTCGTGTATTAGGATTCTCCACAGATGGGGACCCCAAGTACTTAAGAGCAATGCGTTTAGCTGCTAACTTTTTTGTAAGAACGCAAATATTGAATATTTACAATAATACATTGGCATTTAAAGTTAAAATTCCTTTGAATTGGATGTCATGGTTTTTTCTTAGTTCTACTCAACTTTTTTTATTCGTACAGGATGGTGTACATCTTTGTACTAAAATCCGAAATAGAATGTTATCGAAAAGTGCTGAATTAACAATGGGTAGTTATGAAATATCTATGGAGCATTTACATGACTTAATAAGATCTACAAATAAATTAGACCACAACTTATCTATATCCGATTTAAATGTTAAAGATAAACAAAACTTTGTTTCTTGTCAAAAGATCTCAGATGATAAAGTATTAAATTTATTGCTATTAAATGATAAATATAGAGGTACTTATAATTACTTGTTAATCTTAAACTTATTGATAACTGCTTATACAGAAAGAGCGATCGCGTTGAGTGATCGTATCTATTATGCATCTATTGTTTTATTTTATGTTCGATTGTGGAGGATATGCTTACATATTGAAAGACCACCTCGTAAAAGTACATTATCAGAAAAAAATAAAAATAAAAAAAAATATCAATCACCACACTTTATTACTTCGAATGCATTACTATGTATAGAGCTCAATGCACATTATTTGATCTATGTCTACTTATTAGTTGAACAGAATGTTCTTCCTCAATCTATTGCTGAAAGTATTTACTTATTCTCATCACAACCTTGCGAGAATATATTTAGAAACGCTCGAGCACTTTCAGGTGTTTATTCAACACGTATTAATTTTACTATCATGCAGTTTTTAAAGCGTTTAAATAAACTTAATGCTCTTACAGAATTGAAACATTTTGAAGAAACAAATACAGAACAAAAAATAGTTTTTCCTGTTCATCACAAAATCAGAAGATTTATGGATAAAAAGGAATCAAATAATAATACTGGACTTACCAGCTTTAATACTCATGATCTTGAAAAAATTATTCTTCATGCATATGAAGTAGCACAAGAGATGATCAATTTTGTTGATTTGAGTAATAGTTTAATAAAAAATAATATGTTTAACATTGAACAATCATCAAAAATAGCCAAACAGTTGTTACAGTTGAATTGCTTAACTGAATCCAAAGTAGTTGATGTTGATGGATCGACGGATGAGGAAGAAACAAGTGATGATGAAGATTTAGATACTTATAATAATGAATTAGCTGATATCATGTATGATGGTGATTTTTCTGAAGACGAATCAATCACTACAAATAGTTTTGAAAATTTGCAAGGAACAACTTACTCAGGTGTGTGTCAGAAAAATTCTATTATAAAAAGTATTTTTCAGAAAAGTACAAACGATACACAGTAGCTATGTTAACATCCGTACATATCTTACTCATTAATTAATCATTTGATATAGATCAATAAATATAAGTCTCCGAATATCTTCGAAAAAATCAGTTGAAGAATTTTTTTTGAGGCTTCGTCTATTATATATGTAACTAATATAAAAATCGATAGATCTCGATACTCGATATTTAATCGAAAGCTAGTAGTAGTTTTAAAATGTAAAATTCAATTTACCAATAATTTTATTTTAACAACCCAGTGAAAAAGTTTCGACTAAGAATCCGATTTTTGTGAAACAAATCAAGATTTTAATCGATTAAATAGATTTCCTTTGTTTCCACACAAAGGAAATCCATTTAATCGATTAAAATCTTGATTTTGTTTCACAAAAATCGGACTCTTAATCAAAATTTTTCACTGGGAAGCGATGGAAAGCCTACCTGTCAAAAAAACTGACTAGTCGTATAAGAAACACTAGTTATGTTTTCCAAAAATTTGTGTTTTTATGACAGAAGAAAAAAGAAAAAAACTAAAATTACTCACTCTTTTTTTACGACCGTAATCGATACGTGTGTCATTAAACTTAAAGCAAAATATTATTACGTCTGAATACATCTAGAAAATGTTGATTTCTAAACTAAATGAATAATAGATACTTCCTTTTACATTCTGATCTTAAGTTTTTCACTCAATTTTAGGGATGAGGTTGAAAAAATCAGTTTCATCCTCAAATGTACATAAATACTTTCCTGTTAATATTCATGGTGAAACATTTTATCTTCATAAACAAACAGCAACTTGGTATTTACAAGAGAAACAGCAACGAGTACCATGTGATCGCCTTCAACGTGTGCAAACTAAAGCAGTTGAATAGGTATCTTTTTGTTACTTATATGGTTATTTTTGTAGATTATATTGTATTGTTTTATTGAAAATTTTCATTATCACTTTTTTTTGTATTAGTTACTCTTGATAACTATGAATAATGTTTTTTTTATTAACAAGTAAATGTTAATGTTGTCTATAAAGACTATGAAATATCAACTGGAAAATTAGACCAATTATAAAATTGCATTTTAATATTATTTGTTTCTCAACGAATTCTTCCACCTATACTGCTGCTTTATATTTATGATGCACTTGATGATTGGTTTTATCAAGTCAAGTAGATGCTTTTTACATAAAATTTGGATCTAACAAAAGATTACCAGCTAGTGATAATTATTAAGCATAATGATTGAGATATTCTTTTTACAAGTCGTGCTTTAGTCCATATCAAACAATATATTTTCACCAAGCGCTGTTTTTGAAGTGAATTTTCATGAAAGATATTTTTTTTACTTCTGGTGGAACTTTATGAATCTTCAGATAGTCATATAAACCGAAAAAAAAATGATTTTTTTAAAAATCATTGTCATCATAATGGGTTCACTCAATATGACCTGTTGAAAGTTTTTCCAACAGTAGGGGTTATAGCATACAAGATTTATGTAAAAATCAAAGAACAGGAAGATAATTGTATATTTTTTTATTACAACGCAGCTAAGTTTTGCATGTCTGAGTTTTAATAGTTACAGATTAAAACATGTTTGCCTTTAAGAACTCTACTTTTTTTAAACAACCTCTTAAAGTACAGTTCTTCAATGTAGCATATGAGTAAAAGGAGAAAAGAGCAAAGTGCTTTTTCAGCAAAGAGGAAAAAGTAAGACTCCTCGCACTCCAGCGTACTTACTGCACTCCGAAGCTGCATCAAAGGTTCGCTTGCAAGCTTGTCAGCCATTTGAATGCTTCTATTAACTAGCTTTCTAGTAGGGTGATTGGAGTCTAGCTTATGGAAGTCTGTCAGACATGAGAGTCAAAATATTTCACTGTACTCCACCTTTACAGAAATTTTGGAGCACACGAGTGGTATTTTGACTCTGACGTCGGATAAATCCATGTAAGCTAGACTCTAATCACCATATCGGAGCGCTGATTAAAAGAGACATGGAAATAGCTGAAAACCTTGAAAGCATACCTGTGACATAATCCGAGAGTACAATGAGTACGCTGGACTACGAGGAGTCTTGCTTTTCCCCTTGTTTTTCAGTCCAGTGAATTCACTCCAAAACTTTTTCTGAATTATCTTCAAAACATTTTTTGTTTTTTCAAGTTTTCTGTCGATTTGTGTGAAGAACTGTGAAATGGAGTTTAGTGTATGTAAGTTGGCGACAAAATAGGACTGAAATATTTGATTGTCCTTCGAATTTTAGAGATAACGCAGTATAATATTCGTACTTTGTTTGCAAATGGGCTTTTATTTAATGAACTCAAAGTAATACATCCCAGTATAAGTCAAAATTAGATTTAATATTGCTAAGTTGTTCTGAAGATAGTAATATATCCTCAGAACAAGATTTAGTTCTCTTAACTGCAGGTTTTTCGTATGACTTCTCCTGAATATAAGCTATTAATTGAATACTGTCAAACCGGAACTGCAGTATAGTTGGTTACAAGAAAGTAGAGATGAAGTACAGCTGGAGTACAGCTGGAGTACAGCTGGAGTACAGCTGGAGTACAGCTGGAGTACAGTTGGAGTACAGCTGGAGTACAGCTGGAGTACACTTGGAGTACAGCTGGAGTACAGTTGGAGTACAGCTGGAGTACACTTGGAGTACAGTTGGAGTACGGGTGGAGTACAGCTGGAGTACAGTTGGAGTACAAATGGAGTGCGCACTCTAGGAGTCTCGCTTTTTCCCCCTTGGGTTATAGCAAATTTTATTAGTCTGTAATTCTTTAAAGTACTGACTGAAACCATATTTCAAAGAAAAAACTGGAACTTTGCCATTAAAAAGAAAAAAATTCGATGAGATCAGAAAATGACCCCATCACATCTCATTCGAAGATCCTTTAAAAATCGTGTCTTTGATCGAAATCATGAGTTTTTGAACAGTTTCATGGGTTTTTGAAACTATCTAAAGAGCCACGTTTTCTGCCACAGGAAGTTTTTAACAACTTCTTTTTATGGCTGCAATTTCAAGTCTGTCACGTGATCGAGTTACCAGACATATGTATCCACAAAACACTTAAAAAATGATCATTTTCTTGTATACCTGATAGTACACTCTAAAAAAAAACGTTTTCTCAGAAACCGAAACCCCTTCGGAAACCGTTTCCGAAACCCTTGAACGTATCCGGGAAGGTTTCCGGACTCATGCTAAGTTTCTGAAAATACCTTCAGGGTTTCCGAGTATCCGGAAACCTTTGAGTTTTCGAAATATAGGTCCGGAAACCCTCAATCGTATTCTCAGAAACCATGGTGCTCTTTTTGAAAACCGAAAGATATCCCCGGAAACCTTCTCTGATTTAAAAACCTTCTCGAAAACCTTTGCGTTTCCGATATTTTTTTTATCGAAAACCTTTTTGGGTTTCGAGGCATCGAAAACGGTGGAAGCGTTTCCGAAAAGTTGAGCATGGTTTCCGAACATCTATTGGAAACCCTTCAGGGTTTTCGAATTTTCAGAAAACCCTTGCGTTTCCGAAAAAAAGCTGCGGAAACCTATCCAGTATTCTCAAACATAGAAATAGCGTTCGGATGTCTTCTTTTTGATTCTAATGTTACGATCGCTATTTTAGAAGTCTAGGAATTGCACGACATGCATGATATAAACCTTATTCAATTTATGTGAAATTGTTGTGTAAAAGCATTAGAATTCTGAGAATTCAAAAGAAAATATATTGTTCCTGAGAAAATTTCGACTTGTTATTACATTTTTCAATACCTAAAAACTTGAATGGATTACGACAAATTTTACTGTGGGGATCGAAGAGCTGCATTAAATTGCTAGATTAATCAAAGAATGCCGTCTTTCTCCTTCTTCATTCATTTATGTTTCATCCAAGTACAAGCATTATGATCCTTATCAACAGATTGCAACGAATATAGTACAAGTTTCGGCCGTTTGAGGATCCTTTCAACCGCCATATACAGAAGAGTGCTAGGAGAGGAACGATGGAAAACATGAAGAAATCTTCATTTGCGAGATAATGTCAAGCAAATACCGGGTTTCTCGGAACGTTTGTAACATCATTATTCTCCATAGATCGCCACAAACGTAAATGATAAAAACTTAAATTTTTTCAAAACATGCATCCTGATATTCTGTACAATAATCAAAAAAAATATTCTCTTGGCTTGTGTTAATAGATTTGGAGAGAGCTAAAGAAAAGATGTATCACATGTTATAGTTTCTCACTTTGATATCGATGTAAATGCTTTAAAAAAACACAATTACTATCTAAATCAAATAAAATATAAAAATACTTATTTCTGAATACCATCATCTCTATAATGTAAGCATCTTGATGTTCGAAAATAGTCGGACAGAATGAAACGTTTGCGAAATGTGATTGTTGTTTAGCTGAAAAAAAAACAAACTCGGAACAGTGAGACACTATAGACTCTCAGACCTTTTTCCTTTTAGCTCTTTCCAAATATATTAGCACAAGTCACAAGAATTTCTGCTTTCACCTATTGTAGAAAATGCCATGGTGTATCGTTTCAAAAATATGTTGACGTTTTTCTGAATCATCTGTTTGAACACATAAACAACGTAAAATATCTTGGAAGCACTCTGAAAAAAAAACAGTAGATATTTATTTCTTCACTCCGCAGGATATAGTTTCTCCAACTGATTCGGTAAAAGGTCTGCAAAAGTAACGAGAATACGAAAACTACACTGCAGCAGTAACGAAACTAAAGATCCCAAGACTCCAAATGACATCAACCTTCTGGGTTCGACAGCAATACGAACACCAGAAGTGAGACTGCCTTAAAGACTTTGACTTAAATACACAAAAAGCTTTCATCACTATAGGATTCCACTTTAATTCATGACTCTGAGTTCGATAGGATTTCAGATCTAATAACATTCATTAACTTTATGGCCACGGCTTTGAGACACATGAAGACTTAAAAACTTCAACTGCCTTTATGTTGTTAGCTTTGAGAGATGTCAAGATCCCAAGACACAAGACTGATTTTACGACTCTTGCTCAAAAAAGCCATAAAGACTCGATGACTAAGACTGACTTCGTGATTATGATTTTCAAATACAGAAAGACAACAGAATTAAGACTAACTTTTTCACTCAGTCTTTTGGAGGAAGACATGAAGACTATAGCAATAAGACTGGCAGCACGACGCCCGTTGTACGAGACATGAACACTCTAGAAATCAGACTAAATTAACCCTTTGAGGACCATGGGACATACGCTCTCCCACCTAGTTTTCAGTAAAGAAAATGTTTGCTCCATATTAAACTGTTATAATCTTCAAGGTAAATAGGTCGCCTACCTGGCATCTCATGCAGGTCTTTTCTCTCTTTCTTCCTATCATATAGATCCTTCTCAGATGTCTTCCTTTCTTTCTCCTACTATATAATGACGCATGATTTCACCCTCTCTTTTCTCGATACATTGTTATGAGGTTTTTATCTGATCATTTTGAGCCAAACAATACAGGTTGATTGAAGAACCGTTTTTCAATTGAAAAAAATTCAGTCCTCAAAGGGTTAATGACATTCTATTTAGGAGACTTCCAACTTCTACCAATTTCACTGACTTCATGACCGTGAATTTGGAAAACAAGAATATTTGAGGGATTTCATCAAGTTCATATCTCTGTCTTTCACAAGATTTAGCACTTTGACTGACATCACATCTAAGTCTTTGACAGATTTAAACACTTTAGGAATTCAGCTGACAATATGAATCTGGAACTAACAGTCATTTACACTTGTGAACTTTCACTAGTTTCATAATATTCGCTTTAACAGACATAGACACTGAAGGTCTTCGACGAAATTCATGAGTTTACATTAAGGAGCTTTTCTC